ATTACCTCAACTTTTATTCTCATATTCCCATATATTTTTAAATCTTCAACTATAATCGAGGAAAAATGGATAAATCAGAAAAAATAATTCGAGAATACCTACTCGATCATACAAAAGTTTTCTGACACACATACATGAATTAAAGCATAAAATTGGAAAATTCATTGAATGTCCAAGCAAAAAATGTATTCTGGAATTTTGAGGAAGAAAAAAAAACAATAAGCAAGAAGAATGCGAAATAAATTGAAAAAAATAAACGAATATGTGAAAAACACTTACTCCAGAATCGTCCACTTCCGTATCTTTCTTCTCATACAGAGCCACCTGATGATCTGCCATTCCGTATATAGGTATTGCCATTGACATTGTATCCCAAAACCGTGTATTCGTTCCCTGAACAAATGTCTTTTATAATAAAAGAGTGAAATCGGAAATTATATTTTTATAAGTACTTCAAGAAACACCGGCTTGATCATAAATTAATTATGGAGATATTTTATATCAAAATAAAATTTACTTTTCGATAGTATTGCTCTCTGATCCTCGATCGATCAAAAGCTACATTGTGCCCGATAATCAAACGATATTTCAAGTCTTTTTCATCTGTTTCAAATGCAATCAAATGATTTAAGCGATACAGCTTAGGTATTTCTACATCGTTTACCAATCGGTCACTGCACCAGGAATACCTAAAAGGAAAAATTTAATATGTGTAATATTTGCAAAAATTTTCAAAATTCTCAAAAGTTTCTTTCTTCAAATTATAAATTTAATTAGAAATTAAATTTATAATTTTTCATTATATTATAACACTTGACCAAATCATACCATGCCTTTGGCGTTACAGCAGTAGCAAGAGTTGGTAATAATCCATCGCGAACACATACTTCAACATCAAAAAATATTAAGTCTTCAAGTGGCTGATCAACCTAAAAAAATACACTTTTTTATAAAAGATCAAACATTTGCATTTACAGGAAGATGAAATGGAAGTTTAACTTTTGCATTTCAAGTTA